TTTAATTCTATTCCACGTCATCCTATTTTTTATTTATCGCAATCACATTTGATTTTAACGAAAAAGCCAATATAATGTTATGACTTATTATTATTGATTTTAATTTTAGATTGGTCCTCTTAGATGTTGGCCTGGTGGGTTATGTCTCTCAAGATCCATTGGAGATATGGATGTTGGAGAGTTCATAGTTCCTGTTCCTTATGTAAAGCAAGTAAAGGTACACTTATTATTTAATTAGAAGATTTCTTGCAAGACTTTGCCTCATGAAGATAATACTGGGAGATACAAGCATTTTTTTTTAAAAAATATAAATATAAATATACTACCTTTATTACCATATAAGCAAGAGGAGTACTTTTTAGAGTGTGTTACACTAAAAGCAAATGCTTTTATTTTATGATCGATCTATTATAAAGTACAAGTGAATCATACCTTAAAATATTTACCCTCCTTTCAAGAATTCTGCACGGTAAATTTTAAAATTCTAAGGATGATTTTACAATTCAAATAATTCAAGACATGCATGAAATTCCCTGAAATCGAGTTTGAAGTTTTTGTCAGGATGAATAGATGTATCAGAGTTGATGAAAAAACTTGATAGGATATTATTACATACAATTTCCTATGCGCTCGTAATTTATAGATACCACAAAGTTGTTATCTTCAAACATACTATTTCTAATTTCTACACCTACAGCTCTCATCAGCAGGTGGTAGGCTAATCATAGCAAGTGACGGTGTTTGGGATGCTTTATCCGCTGAAACAGCATTTGATTGTTGTCGTGGCATGCAACCAGATGCGGCAGCTGCACAAATTGTAAAAGTGCGCATACATATTGGTTGTTCATTTAAATATATTATGTGAATAAGGCCCCATTTTCAAGACAGTTCTCGCTTATAATGCTTATTACAAGAATAAGTAGCTTTTTGCCTTACCTATTTGGCTGAAATGAATGCTACTAAAAGATTTTCCATTCAGATTATTCACAAGATTCAACAATTTTAACCAAATAGCTCTTACCAAATCGGTCCTAATTTTCATGCAATCCTTTGTTTTAAATCTATATATCTCCAAACTTGTAGGAAGCTGTGCACCCTAAAGGACTTCGAGATGACACTACGTGCATTGTGATTGATTTACAACCTCCGGAGAAGCCCCCTCAACCACATCCCAAAAAAACGGCAAAAGGAGTGCTCAAGTCCATGTTTCGCAAAAAAAGCTCCGATTCTTCTTACGGTGATAAAGAGTATTGTGAACCAGATGTGGTGGAGGAGCTATTCGAGGAAGGATCTGCATTACTTTCTGATAGGTAAAACATGGCATAATTACTTTCCCAAGAATGTTTATTATTATTACTAATATCATCATTGTCATTATTAGTACTACTACTACTACTAGTACTACTACTATATTGTTGTTTCTTATCCAATTCACAAAAAAGCGTCTTTAAGTGCTTTATTATTTGCAGGTTGGGCATGAGGTACCCAATTTGTAATATGTTTAAACTATTTATGTGTGCGGTTTGCCAACTAGAGGTTAAGCCCGGTGAGGGCGTTTCTATACACACTGGATCAATGGATTCAAAAAAATCACGACCTTGGGATGGTCCATTTCTTTGTTCAAGCTGTCATGATAAGAGAGAAGCCATGGAAGGAATAAGACCTTCTGCAAGTAAGATCATTGCAATTTTCAACTAATTCATTTGTCCCAAATGATAGTCTCATTGCAAATAATGCATTTAGAGTTAAAAATTAAAATATACATATTTAGAAATTATATTAAAAGTTTTATTCAATCGCAAGAAATGAATTTGAATTTGATAAAAATTGCATACACAAAGTATATAATTAGAGATCAAAAGTGAAACGCGTTATCGAGTGAATGGGAGTTGAGAATCATTTTCGGACAAATGCATTCTAAATAAGTTCATTTTTCAGAAACTTATGTATGTGTCTCTTTTAATATTTCCAGGTGGTAGATACAGCAGTGGAAGCGACTAATAGCTTCCGTCTAATCGCGAAATAACCTTAATATTCAACCACTATTCATGACATTCTCCTTAATTTCTAACACCTATCCCTACCATTGGAATCGAGAGTGAAGTCACTAACCAAGTTCCCATCCCATTGATGCTTATTATTGTCATAGATGGACATCTTCTAACATAGGCCTCTATTGTCAAATGAATTTTGCAATGGTATGGAGAGATTTATAAACGTACTAAGAAGACGTGTCAAGGGTAACACATGCCTGTTGGATTATCTACATTTATATATACTGGTTTCCCCTTGAATAATTCATGGAGATTAGTAAAACAAATCAGTCTAATACTAGCTGTACTGTAGGAAAGCTTCATTAGGATTTTGTGGAGTGATTTATTTTGGAGGGAGTGGGGTTGTAGATGTTAAAATATAAGTTACATCATCGTGATTATTTTAATAGTTTTAGTATCTTCTTGAATATATAGATAATGGTACCTTTTTGTACAGAAAATCATATGAAAATTTATTTATTTATTTATGAAATACCGATTCAATCTACTTTCCAGCGAGTTGATAGGACTATAGGAATGACATTGGGATTATCTGTAATCAAATTTGAAACTATTACAATTAATAGGATTAAATTGAAATATAAGTAATTTTTTCATGTGAAAGAAAAAGTATGGAGATTTTGTGGCACTTCAATTCTAGTTTTTGTAGAATGTCATTTCAAACTACTTAAGTTTTTGTTAAGATTCTTCCAAAAAATGTTTTTATTAAGTTTCGGAGTTCCATTTTATTATGTCAATCTAATAGGAGAAGTAGCTCATATTCTCCAGAATCCTATATAATGTTTCATTGTTTTATAATTATTCAGTTTGAGACAAATATTGTAATTCAACATGCCCCTTAGCCCAAAATGAAGAGTCCGATTTTGTTCACCCCCTCTAAGGAGGGTGAACATCGCCCTCTCCCTTCAATTCATATCATTTGGCATTATACTTCTTCTTTTTTTCTTAAATTTATTATAATTTTTTTATTTGTAATCTAATTCTTACAAAAAAATATATCAGATTTAATAACTTTTATGATCTTTACAATGATATCTATATTGCATACAAAAATTGAAAAAAAATCGTTTTTTCTTAAGTCTATTTTGAGCCGTATTCTTTTTAAATTTACATATGTAATATCGGTACCATATGAAACATCACAAAAAATTAAAAATATTGATTTGTTTTTTGAAAAAATTGAACCAAAAATGAAAAGTTATAGCAATTGCCAAATTAAAATGAATTGCCATGCCATGTGGCAGTCTAAGAGGGTGGGGGTATTAAGGAGGAGTAGCCCAAAGCTTTATATGTTGGTTTGTATTTCTATACGCAGATGGTGTGGGACAGCTTAATACGCCCCTGCAAGATAGTGGCTCGTTAGAGCAGACCAATCTTGTAGTCCGTGTGCTCGTTGTTGAGGCTTATCAGGATCTAATTACTTGTTGGAGCTTAATTTGCTCTGATACCATATTAAGACTTGGGGTTCCATCCTAAAAGGTTAACCTATTAGGAGGAGTAGCCAAAGCTTTACATGTTAGTTTGTATTTCTATACGCAACCGGTGTGAGACAACTTAATAAGGGGTGATGTTCACCCTCCTTTGAGGGGGTGAACAAATTTGTTCTCCAAAACGAACCGAACAATATCAGAGTACTATATAAATATGTCATTTCAAATAAACTGTTAAAAGGTTACACTTAATTATGCGCGCGTGCTAAATAAGCAGTTAAATAACGGTGAGAGTCAATATCGATTTTTGGTGGGAGTGATCGAGTTTGAAAGAAATGATACCATGAGTTAGGGTGGATTCAATCCCAGTACCATGACTAGGACCATATGAATGAATAATCAAATATGGCCTTTTTTCTAAAAATAAACTGAAACGGCTAATGGAACTGCAATTTTTGGAACCATACAGATTTTTAAGACATTTCAATTGAATCTTCAATTCACCTTCATACTAAAAGTGATTAGGCATAAAAAATCAAAAGACATGTGTGTGTAAGTAAACACAAGTCGATGACACAAAATCCACAGGCACATTGTGTAAATTCTCAAAATCAAAATACTGATAGAATTTCTACTTTTGTATACTCCGTATAATTAAGTTAGGCGTTTTCACTGGACTTAATCTCAGATAATACATGAGAATTTCTTATGTGAACGCTTCTTAACAATACTATTATGAGAACTTATAGCATTATTAAGTAGTATTTTTTGATCAATAACTAATATACATAATGTGCATTTTTGTAATATGAATGAGGTTTATTTACACTTCTTCTCAAATAATTATAAAAATATTACATTGTGAATATTTTAGTCATTGATTAGACAAATAAAAGGTAAAGAGTAAGATTTGTTGGAAAAAATGGTTTTACTTTAGTATAATAGTCACCTTTGAGCTAAAATAAATAAATGATCCACAATTAGTTTGTGGTATGACTAAGTCCTAAAGTATAGTCCTCTGAAAGGTGAACGCAATCATATATTAAAGTGTGTAAAACCTGAAATGAATGAGAAATTGTTTCCTGAACTTGCCTAAAAAACAATTTCGGAAAGGACTTTGTCCCACACCGAAAATAGAAAGTTAAGGAAGTGCCTTTTTATAAGCTTTCCTTAGCTATTAGGTCGGACCATTAGGGCACCGAAGTTTTGTTGTGAAGTTAGACCTGTATACGGTAAGCGTGGAATTAACTCTTCTCACGCGCGCGCCGCTGCCGCCGTCTGGCCAGTCGGGTTCGGGTCTTTGATCGGTCAACTCCGGTTTTCAACGGTCCGCGTGTCTAAGGCTTGAGATTATATTTTTTGCTACGTTTTTTATTTTGTTTTCGGATAAAACCAAATAGAAGACACAACAATTCGTTTTAAAAGAAAGGTCATGAACTTTCTTTTAATACTCCCTCCGTCCCATTAAAGGTTCTCATCCACTATTCACATGGTCAACTTAAATCATTCTTAACCTTTTGCTTTATATATCAAATTTTTATGAAATTTACATATTTTTTATCAGTCTTTGTAGCGACTTTAATGTAGTTTCTGAATATGTAATTTTTGTTTTCTAAAAATAATCGGAGTGTGAACAGGGATCAAGTTGTTTTATCGTCAGTCAAGCATCGTAAACTGAACCGGGAATGTAACATCCCCAAATTTTGCCACCCAAAAATACATTTAAATAATGATTTATTGGAAAGTATTACTAACTTTATTTGAAAACATCAGAAAATGTGCAGCGGAAAATTTAAAGGGAAATAGGGGTGCTACCGCCACAATCGGTTCTCTCTTAACCGAGTGCACAGGCTAAAACAACTTAAACTTCAAAATTAAAAGCTCACTGATTAAAGTTATTGAAAAAGAAATTTACAATGATTTACTAATTATGTGTTCTAACGGATGCGCTCTTGAAATCAACTTCAACAGGACCAACTCAGCACCTGTACAAAATCAAGTACATAAAGAAAAATAAAAGAAACTAACATTAGCAATTATGCTAAGTAAGTTCCACCTAACCTTTTAAAATAATTATAAATAATATATATATAAACTCATACAACTTCATAAAATATTTTTTAAAACACTTTATAAATCATAAGTAAACGATATCTATACAAAATCCAAATCACATAACCCATAAACCATAAAAATTCCAAAATACATGAAACACCCAAATTCTCCTCTATTGAATTTTTCCCAAAATCACTTTGTAACTAACTTCCTAGTAATTTAGAATGGCGGTGCTCAACACTTTTGTTGAGCCCGGTTGTCCGTTGTTATGTACGGCCACCCAGGGACTATCGCCGGTACCACAACTGCTCAATGGAAACGGAAACAACTACTTTAAGTGTGCACACCCCCTAAAGGTATTCCAAGCCCTCCGGGTTAGTAAGTCGATCCGGGTAGCCGGGATGTTTTCTACCAACCACCCCACCTCAAAAACTGAATGATTAGGAGCTACTACTACCATTACTACTCAAAAGCCGGGATGTTTTCTACCGACCGTCAATTCACCTCAAACCAAAACCAATAACAATTGAGTAGTAGTAGACCTAACCACCCTCCACATTTTAAGGGACGTGGAAAATCAACACCACGGATTTCTCCCGTGATGCTCACCCTTTATGAAAATATTTTCTTTGTTTTCTCAAAATCAATCGAAGTTTATACATCAAAAATTTCCTTTTCATTAAACTCCCACAAGGATAAAAAATTACGTACTATTACAAAATCTCCCAAATCGTATACAATAATTCACATCAACAAAACAATATATCAACTAATATCTCAAATACAACCCTTTCATATAATAATATTCACTCAAATTCAGCACACATAAATTCAATTCTCAAATATGCACACAAAAATATTTAAAAGAAATCACGAAGAAAAAGAACTAATTTCGGTTGACGTGAAACTTACCTTAAGTCCCGATGCTCCTAATTCTCTTCTTCAATTCCAGTCTCTAAAGATTCACCTTTTTAATTAAGATGATATAATTAGTCACTTATTCAATAGTTTATCCAATTTTCCCTTTTTGTTTCTTTTTTCAAATTTATTTTATCCATTAATTTTATTAATTAGATTACTTTATTAATTCGGCCATTAATTACACCCTACTTATAAAACGTCCACATAATTATATTTAAATATACGAATTATCAGCATATTTGAATTATATTTAATTAAACTATTCAAATTTCATAATTAATTTAATTAATTTAATTTACATTAATCAACATTATTAGCATTAGTAAATCCGAATATTATAACAACTATTTAAATTAACTAATCGTTATTAACGTATTCTGATTTTATTAATTACTCAAACACTTAATATTCCCGAGTCCGTAATTATGTTAGTTTTATTACTCTACTTCAATTAATTCAATAATTAGTGAAAATAATATCTACCCAACTTTATTTAATCTGATTATGGTACTAAGTCCAATTAAATAATTATTATTTTAATATGATCATTATTTATTAATTAAACCATCAATTCATTTTATCATCTAACATTATTTAATTATGTTAAATAACAATAAACAAACTTATCCAAGTGATTACTATCAATAAATCAAGCCAACTTCATCATTAATATTTCTCATATCAATTTATCAATTTTGTAGATTATTATTATTATTATTATTATTATTATTATTATTATTATTTAGCCCAAGAGCTTCGGCCCAAATGAAAAAAAACTACCGGCCCAAACTAAACAAATGGCCCAATTTTTAAAGAAAAACAAAAAGAAGGACATTGTTCTTCTTCCTCATGAGCTCGACGAAAACGGGACACGCAGGGGGAGAGCGGTTACCTCAATAAATTCGTGATACGATGGTGGCAGCAGACTC